ATGCAAAGCCTGTCTTGGTGGTTCTTGAAACTTACAAAATGTCCGACAGAGTTGTTCTCGACTCTTGTGCTTTCAACGAGCTGCAGGACCCCGCAGCAGCGTGCAACAGCGGCAGCAGCACCAGCAGCAGCAGCAGCAGCAGCGGCGGCGGCGGCGGCGGCGGGGCGCCTGCTGCTGCTGACGGGCACGGCCACGCCGGCCGCTCGTCCTCCTCCCACAGCAGCAGCAGCAGCAGCAGCAGCAGCAGCAGCAGCAGCAGCAGCAGCAGCAGCAGCAGCAGCAGCAGCAGCAGCAGCGGGAGCGTGGGCGTGCGGCGCAGGAGGTGTACCGGCCGCACAAGTCGATAGAGCCGGAGCTGTGTCTGTTTCACTCGCAAGAGTACATAAACTTTCTCTCCGCAGTTTCGCCGGAAAACTACAAAGAGTTCGCGCTGCAGCTGAAGAGCTTCAACGTGGGCGAGGCCACCGACTGCCCCGTCTTCGACGGCCTCTTCGCCTTCCAGCAGGCCTGCGCGGGTACTAGTCAATTCTTTTAATTCTTTTAATTCTCTGCATTCTGTTAATTCTGTTGATTCTTTTAATTCTTTTAATTCTCCGTATTCTGACAATTCTGTCGATTCTGTCAATTCTTTTAGTTCTTCTCTGTATTCTGACGATTCCGTTGATTCTGTAATTCTCTGAACTCGCTGTATTCCGTGAATTCTGCTGGTTCTTTCAATCCCGTGAATTCGGCGAATTGTCGGTATTGTGTGAATTCGGTTGGCTGCGTGAATTGTGTGTACGCCGTAATCGCTTTACGTTGTGCGTTGGGTTGGGTGCGGGCCACAACGAACGAACAAAACGTGAAACGCGCGCACAAACGAAGAAGCAAAGAAAAACAACGAAAAGAAAAGCGGGCGCAGCAGTCGGTGTGGCGAGCAGGGGCGTCGATCGACGCGGCGAAAAAACTGAACTACCAACAGGCGGACCTGTGCATAAACTGGAGCGGAGGGCTGCACCACGCGAAACGCGCAGAGGCGTCGGGGTTCTGCTACGTCAACGACATCGTCCTGGGGATCCTCGAGCTGCTCAAGTACCACCCGCGGGTTATGTACATCGACATCGACGTGCACCACGGCGACGGCGTCGAGGAGGCCTTCTACGTGTCGCACCGCGTGCTGACCGTGTCCTTCCACAAGTTCGGCGACTTCTTCCCGGGCACGGGCGACATCACGGACGTCGGCGCGGCCCAGGGAAAGTACTTCTCCGTGAACGTCCCGCTCAACGACGGCATGGACGACGAGTCCTTCATAGGTCTCTTCAAGCCCATCATCGCCAAGTGCGTCGAGGTGTACCGGCCGGGCGCCGTCGTGCTGCAGTGCGGCGCGGACTCGCTCAGCGGAGACCGCCTCGGCAAGTTCAACCTCACTGTCAAGGGGCACGCGGCGTGCGTGCAGTTCGTGAAGAGCTTCAACTTGCCGCTGCTGCTGCTCGGCGGCGGCGGCTACACCATTCGCAACGTGTCGCGCTGCTGGGTGTACGAGACGGCCGTCGCGCTGGACAGACACCGCGAGCTGTCTCCGCAGGTCCCGCTCAACGACTACTACGACTACTACGCCCCCGACTTCCAGCTCCACCTGCCTCCTTCGCCGGTCCCCAACTTCAACTCTCCGGACCATCTCCAGCGCCTCAAGGCCAGGGTCTTGCAGAACGTGGCTCTGCTCGAGCACGCCCCCGGCGTCCAGTTCGCCTACGTGCCGCCGGACTGCTTCGGCGAGGACGAGGACGAGGACGAGCAGCAGCAGCTGCTCGTCGAGTGGGAGGGCGGCGGCCTTGCTGCCGGCAGCAGCAGCAGCAGCAGCAGCAGCGGCGGCAGCGGCAGCGGCGGCAGCGGCGGGGGCGGGGGGGGGGGGGAGAAGCCGCAGCCCGCGCAGGGCGGCAGGATCCGCAGGAAGGACTACGCCAATGACTTCGAGGACCTCCCCGATCGCGACCAGAAGATCCCCATCTAGTGCTGCTGCTGCTGCTGCTGCTGCTGCTGCTGCACGCCGTTGCTGCCGCTGCCGCTCCTGCTGGAGTGCATGCGAGAGTTTCGTGCAGTTGAGTTGAGTTTAGTTGAATTTAATTTATTTAATTGCCAAGTCGGTCCTTATGTTTTCGGCGTGGATGGAAACGCAAAAATACGATTTTGAGGCTTCGGGCTGGCGAAGGAAACGCAAAGACAAAAGACAAGATGTTCAAGTAATTACATACGTAGAAATCCTACATTTATAGAATCCAATAAACAATTTTATAGAGTGGAGTTCAGGAACTCCTAGAGACACTCCAACAAGTCCTGTAGATACACCACACACCACAGGGGCAGACGCCGCAGAGACTCCCAGCACAGCGCCCCAGCCGGGGTGTATGTACACCTGCTGCTGCTGCTGTAGAGCTGCTGCAGCAGCGCCCGCGACGCCCTCTCCACTCTCTCGGGGAGCGACTGCTGCTGCTTCTGCTGCACCTGCTGCTGCTGCTGCTGTTTGGTGACCCGCTGCAGCAGCCGCTCGTATCTTTTGGGCGGCTTCATTTCGGGGGGCACTGAGCTGACCAGACACCCCAACTCCCAGTCCCCAGCCAGCAGCAGCTGCGGGGACCCGCAGCTGCTGCTGCTGCAGCAGGGGCACAAAGGATCCGCAGCAGCGGCAGCAGCAGCAGCAGCTGAGGGCTCCCCCACCCTCTGCTGCTGCTGCTGCAGATGGCTGGCGAGCTGAAGGGGCAAATACGGCAGAAGCTGCTCCTCCTCTTCTGTGGGCAGCTTGCACGTGGGGATGTTTGCTGCTGCTGCAGTTTGCTGCTGCTGCACCGCAGCGCTGCTGCTGCTGCTCTTCCGCTTCTTCAAAGGACACTAAAAAAAAAAAAAAAAAAAAAAAAAA